ATGGATGGATGGATGGATGGATGGATGGATGGAGTGCTGCTTTTTAAGCTCTTTTAACCAATTTTATATTCTAAGACCGGTTCTATCAGAGTGAATTCATGTTTTTGATATACAGCAAATATTTTTTTTTTTCATAAATGAAATCATCATATAAATGCTGCATATTATATTCCATTAGGGTTATGTGTTTTTCGTATATTCACTTGAAAATCTGAAACATTTTATGTAATTTAAAAAGAACGAAAATTTGTGGAAATCAATAGGGCAGCAAATGGATTTTTTTAACACTGTAAATCAATCCTTAAATTCTTGTCAATTTGATAATGTACCATCGCATGTAAAGAGTTGCTGTGTGTTCTGTGTTGTTCCATATATTCAGCATATGTTTGCATATGAGACAGGCATAGAGGGAAATGGGTTGGAGAGGGAGAGTCTACTGAAAGTAAATTATATTCCAGCATGAGGTTGATAAGAAGAGATGGGACCAGACTCATTTCCATTTGTATGATGCACAGGAACATTAACAGGTCAACACTGCAATGCTTGAACACCCTTTTAAATGAATCATCCTTTGTAAAAGCAAAAAAAAGAGCTTGCTTCCTGTGTGTTTCAAACTCTTCAGCATAAAAGGTTAAGAAAAAGCATCAGAAAGAACTTAAAACATGTAAAGTGCTGCATGTCTTTTTTCTCATTTCTCTTCACGAAACTAGGCTGATTTTTTACAGATTGAAGTGTTGCAGCTACATGTTTTGAATGTTTCACAGAAAAAAGCATTGTTTTACCTTGTGTCCCTGTTTTCCAGGCTCCCCTGACTCCCCTTTCACACCTTTGTGACCCTGGAAACATTGAGGAAAGAAACAGAGCATTAATGAATGGTAATAATTTTAAGTGGATCGGTTTTGGAAGGAACAAAACAATCTTACCTTCATACCAGGTGGGCCAGGATGCCCAGGAGTACCAGGTGGACACGAGTTTGGACACTAAACACCAGAATTAATCACTCAGTCACTATACTTCACATCATATACAAAGATATAATTTATAAATATTTCAGTATGAAACAATCCACTACCAGGTCAGAGGAGCCAAGCATTCCAGTTGCACCCTAAAATTGATCAAAAAATATATATATATTTTAGTAGCAGTCACTATCATCAACACATCCTTACTAGTTTGTTTCTAGCAGCAATGTTCTACCATTTGTGAATTAAAATGATTCCTAGAAGTATGTGTGAATAAATACTGATACTCTTGTTACTCTTGCTGGTGGAAATAGATCATAAATGCATGAAACAATTGTCAGGAGATAAAATAATACTGGCTTTTTTTATTATATATATATTCTGCTGAACACAATTATTTTTACACTACTGCAGAGAGGAAATTTGTCATGATGAGAAACACACCGAGACACATGCTGTGGTTTTTCAATCTGATTTTTTTTTCACAGTTGCGGTACATAGAACCGCCACGGGATTCACATATCCAGACCCATGAGGATAACACCTGAGCATCTGAAACTAGCTAATACCACTCCTGTGATTGTTCCAGACCTGCATCTTGCTACTTCATCTAACAAGTATTAAGGTGCACCTCAGTGAATTTAAATATCACCATAAAACGATATATTTCAATAATTCCATTTAATCTATTACACACATACTAATGTATTTAACCATTTGTTATCTTAAGTTCTGTCATTTTGATGATTGTAGATTATTTCCAAACTCCGATAACCAGCAGGTTAGGCCTTCACATATGAGCATTGACCTACAGAAACCTGGAGGAGTGGGCAAAAACCAAGTTGGAAATGAATCAGAAACTCCCAAAAGCAGCAGAATACAACATTCATGATCTTAAATTTACTGACACCCACCGACAGACAGCCTGGTTCCTAAATTCTAACTGCCTGGAAACTTCACACATCCCTCTGCAGAAACGCTGATTCTGTCTGTTGTGATTCAAGAATGTAACTGTTCTCCAAATGAAAGGGAATTTTACTTTCATCGTAGACAAGCATATTTTGGATGCTTAGTATTTCAAATATTTATTCCTGATCAATATATGCTGTTTCAATGCTGTTTCGTCCTTTAAGTCGAGAGAGGCAATACTTGTAGCGCATTTTCCTGTCCCCTGTGTGTGCCAGCTGTTGAAACACAGTAGCCCAGACTTTGTAAATAACTCTAATATGGACAATCTTCTCAAGACTGTTGTTATCATTGTTGCTAGTGCACCCAAAATGTTTTTCTTCCACTCAAGTTTCCAATAATACGCTTAGATAAAACTGTTCTTTAACATTGCCCTTTGTTTCCCTCCTCCTTATGAAAGGAGTGTCCGGTCAGCAGTCTCTTTGGGAAGAGCTGGGATTCTGTCTTTCCCATGATCATGGTGGCAAATACATAATATTTCTGTATTTAAATCATTCTTCATCTGCCTTTATTACTATCTTAATTTTCTGTAAAACGGAATTTTGTTTTTTCATAAGTTTTAAATGTAAAAGGAAAAATTAATTATTAAATTGAAATTCTTTTTTTTTTTTGCTTTTTTTTTTAAGGTTGTTAAAATAAAGTACGTTTGGCTACTTACTCTGGGCCCTTGTGGTCCACGGGGCCCCTGTGGCCCTCTCACACCCATTGCACCCTGTGCAAAGAAACAGAAAAACATTAATAGCAAACTCTTATTAGAAAATGTGAGTAGCTTTAATTACTGTTTTCGGATTTTTTATGTGTTTTCATTAGTCTTATTTTTGGCTCAGCCATTAGTAAACCCCAAAAACAGTCAATTTTTTGTTTTTTACTCACAGGAGGTCCTACTTTTCCCAATTCACCCAGAAGCCCACCAGGCCCTGGTGGTCCCTGGTCAAAGACACATTTAATGTATTAGACAATATTATTATGGATTAAAAATTTGAAATTTGGGATTTAAATAGTACAACATATGGGAGATACTTACAGGGGGTCCATCAGGCCCCACACCCTAAAAAAGCATGGAAAGTAGGTGTATGCATTACAGTTGAAAACTTGAATATATGGCTTTGAAGATAGATGACTCTTTGATTGGCATGTTTACTCACAGTAGCTCCACGAGGTCCAGGATTCCCAGGTTCACCCTGAAGAAAAGAAATGATCTTGCTTGATTTAGAAATGCTACACGAAGTAAGATAAAGTAAAACTAAGTGGGAAAAATAGAGCTGTGCAATCCTGCAGACAGCCAGAATTAACATTCCTCCAGCACAATCATATGACTGAGTCTGGGTATACATGACCCTGCAATATTAAGCCTAATGAGGAGAAATGTTGGAGCTTCATGCTCCACAGGGATTACTAAAAGGGCTTGGAGGATTATGTCTGGTTTGTCAAGTGGAATTGGTTTATGTGCTACGACCCTTGCTGCCAAGCCAAAAGACCGGACAGCAGCTTGGCATCTTTTCACCGTCAGCCTCCGAAGCTGGAAAGTTAAGGCTCATTAGTCACTTACTTTCTGTCCTAGGGGACCATCAGGCCCAGGATCCCCAACAGGGCCAGTCAAACCCTGCAGAAAAAAACACATCAAGGTAAAGTTACACATCTTGAAGCAAGTTAGTATAGATTTTAAAAAGGAGTAAAAAATTCCTAAACTATATGACCATGTTCTTCCCATATTTCCATTTATTTCTTGAAAAAAAAAAAAAAAAACAGCAACCGGTGATATTAATAAAAAGGAATTTTCCTTATGTACACCTTTTTGAAAATGACTATTTTTTATTTAACAGTTATACTAAGCGGAACTGAGCATTTTCCTTTGACCATACACTGCATCTGTTTTCATGTTAACATATGTAAAGAAATGTTTTTACCATGATTCAGAGGTCCAAACTTTAAGACTGTTCATTTTGGACCAGCATTCCTCATTCCTTCAGATAAGTATGCTGAAAGAAGTCATTCCACACTGGTTTGAGGATTCTCAGTAGGAGACAAGAAGAGTGGCCCAACAGAGCTCCTATTGTTTTCAGACTCAGGGTAGTTAATGTTGAGACTGGCTTTAGATTCTAACACTAAAACTGTTGAACATTTGGAATGATTCTCTAAAACCTTGCATTTAACTAAAGGTAAATATTTAGGCATTGTTTTCTAATTTCTTCAATAATGAAGTCAATGCCTTTGTTAAATAATGTTTTCTTAACCTTGAGCCGTAGTTTTGTTATACCAGGCCTGGTTCTGCTCTGGATTATTAAAACCCTTTCGAATAACTTCCTCAAAAATTTTGCATCTAATTTCTCTAAATAATCTCCTGTACATATATGCATTTTTTCTGGTCTCTTCTAAAAAAATATAATGTGAATATAGGATTGCTCCAGTAGGAAGATAACATTGCACAGTTCCACCCAACGGACCAGTTCAAAGAGTGCAAGTTGACCTCCTCGTGACCGTCAATGATGTTAGTGGCTGTTACATGAAGCATACTCACAGCTTTTCCAGGAATTCCAGGTAATCCTAAAGAACCGGGTTTACCAGCATCCCCATCAGGGCCCTATGGGATTAAAGATCCAATGAATAATTCAATTCCAGTTGCAAGAAATAAAAAGAGTTTGAAATTTGATCTAATGGCATAGTTACAGGAAAGCCGTCCTCGCCATCTACGCCACGTTCCCCCTAAAAGAAAAGACATCCATTTTGATTGATTAACAAAAACCTTTTGCTGCCACTGAATCCAAATAAAGATTCCTAAACAGCTAAAACAACTTACAGCAATGCCATCTATTCCTGGGACTCCTGGGGGTCCAGGTGGGCCAGGGGGTCCTCGATTTATCTATGCAAAATGGTTATTTTAAAACTGAGAAGATTTATGCTACTTTTTCCAGATGTTTTTGCCAACACTGCACTTCCTTATATTCAATGTGCATGTTGTAAAAGAGAGAACAGGTGCACCACCGTATTGCATGCTGCAAGCTGACATCAATACACCTGCTTCAGCTGAAATGGTTTGCATCTTTCATGCATTTGACTACATTTGTTTTAGAATGACAAACTTTAAAAGCAAACAAAGGAAATCTCCAGTAACTGCTTTTTATAGACAGATTCTCAAATAATCAGTTCAAGAAAGAACTATTTATCTCTACTTATCTATATTCAGAAAAGTTTTCAAATTAATATTTGCATCGAAAGAGAGAGAGCACTCACCTCTATAGTTAGTCTGAAGGTAAAGATAAAGCACAAAGATAGAGACATACAAAGGTCTTACTTGGGAGGAACAAAGGAGCACAAGTTGCAGGATCACCACAAGAATAGGCCCTCTAATGCCTGGGGTTCCAGCCATGATTATCCCAGGAATAGGAAAGGGAGATGGTTGGAGTCCTTTCTTTAGGATTTGATGGCCAGAGGGAGCCCTGTAAAACCAGGGCGACTATAGTCCGCTGCAGCAGTCTTGCTACAAGGCAAAAGTCCCAAAACTGTCAGAGGCTCATGTGTATTCATGCAGAGACTGGCCACAGGAAGGAGATTGGAGGAGATTTTAGAGGACTTCAGGGGGAGGGGCTATCCTGCAGTCAGTGCTGATGGGGGGCATAGGCGGGCCAATTGACCTTTACTACAACCACAGTGCACTTTAGTCATAACTTATATTTTCATATCAATTCTTTTTTATTTTTATAGTATTAAAGAACAAAAACGTTCTTGTTGTATATCTCAGCAATAAATCATTAAACATCCGATAAGTATATCAATCAGAAACATGATTTCATTATGTTGTATTGGCACTTGAGAGGACAAGCAGGTGTGCGCAGACATTTTTCCTCTTGCCTTCATGGTAAGCCATTAAAACCCGTAATCCTTACTCTCAACAGATCGCAGTGAATCAGCATAAAGTTCAGAATTCAGAGAAGGCATTTAAAAAAGGATTAAGTTTCAATGAAAAGTTGTCAAAGACGCCTTTTAATTATAAAAACATATTTCCCACCATTGTGCTGGCTTGCGCTTGTTGCAATATACAAAGTATGTTTTAATTGCTCATTTGTAAACATTACTTACTTTTTTATAAACTTTTTATTTTTTTGTGCAACTGGAATCATCTAGTTGTCAAGTGGAATTGATATCTTTTGGCCATCAGTGATAGGGCGTGGTGGCCTAGTGATTAGGGCATAGAGCTTGGAATCCTGAGGTTCTGAGTTTGAGCCCCACTCCCACAAACTGCCCCTCTGGGCCCCTGAGCAATGACCCTTAACCCATCGTTGCTCCCCAGGCGCCCCACGATGGCAGCCCACTGCTCCCCAAGGTATGGGTTGAATGCCGAGGTAAATTTCTGCAATGTGAGATCAATAAAGTTTAATTATTATTATTAATTCATTATTATTTTATTTGTTTATGCATACATTCACTCAATCAAGTTCCTGGTAGAGAACCCTGTTCTTATCCACCAAAACCTGCAGCAAAAACAATTAATTGGGAGGAATAAAATGCAATAGAGGTTTTTCTTGTCACAATGACATGACCTCCTTCATATAGGATCGATTTTCATCATACTTTTTCGTAATGTGGCTTTTTATGTGCCTTCGTAAAGGGTCACCCAGAAAGTTATTGTTTTTCAGAGTTAAGCTGTAGTATAAGTGGTTACATCCACACCGTGGTTCCACAATGAGTTTATCCCATTGAAGCCATCTAGACTCATTTTTGAAAAAAAAATAATAAAATATATATATATATATATATATATTCTGTAAACTATTCAAGAATGTCGCCCCGACCCTAGTGACATTGTGTAACATCATTTATTGAAAAGCAAGGGAATCTTATGTTGAGCATCTTGAATTTAAATTTCAAAGACACGAGTTGAAGGTAAGCCATCTGTTGCCATTATCCAGATATCCCAGCTTCAAGGTATTGTCACTCAAGTGCAGTATGGCCACAAAGGTATCTCCAGTAGGCCCTTTGAAATTATCCAAGACATTAATCCAGTGAGTGTGAAAACATATACAACATTTTGTTATGGATCACAAGATCATGAAGCACTATGTAAAATGACATATTTTTGTATACCTATATACTTAAACAGCATATAATGTTCAGGACCATGGACAGGGTATAAATACGATTTAGAAACATGTCCACCACTAGGTGTCAGCCTTCCCCCACAAAACACAACTCTCTGCAGTTTAGCCTGTATTTATCCTGAAACCAAAGCCATAAAATAATAAGTAACATCCAGGGAAAGCTTCCTGACTGCACCCATTCTTACCAGTTCAGCCATGTGGAACTGAAATAGGCCAATGAATCCTAAAGGTGAAGGCATACAGCTATGGTTAGATTCTATACATCTTCATTATACATCACACCTTTATCTTTTTAAGAAAGTTTAATTTAATTCAGTTTAATTCATTTTATGTTATAGCGACAGCACATATTCAAGAACATTTAACTCTAAATATGCCAGAATTAGCCCCAAAGGCTACTTTACATACAGTACCTGGGAAGTGAATAAGGAAAAAGCAAGAAAACACCAAACTATCAGACACAAAAGGCATAAATCAATAGATTAATCAATGGGAAAAAAAACAGAGTGGACATGAGGAATAGCAGAAAACATGGTGGAACATTAACAAAACAGCACATGATAAGGATCTGATATTAGTGACCATAGGTCTGACTCCCTGTCAGCCAACTTTTGCAATTGGTTTGTAAATTAACTGAATGTGGGAGAGTTTTAATTCAAGAAAAAGTCACATTTTTTATTTATTACTTGCCATTATAATTATTACATTTGCTCTTTAAAGCACATTTCTGGTTATTTGGTGGAATAATTTACTTTTGTGATCTCCAGTAATACTCCAAATCATGTTATGTGATTCAACCTTGATGATTGAAATGTATGAAGATCCCTCCTTCACATTAAAGCCAGCTTGAAGTGGAATCCTCACAGCAATAAAATAAGATGTTAGGAAAGCAAAAAGGCTGTGTTTGTAGTCTGATTAAGTCTGCACATCTTGTGAAGAAGGAAAAAAAGCTTAGCGCATGGAAAGTTGTGCCATTTGAATAAATATTAGATGATCCTTCTGTTTTTGATCCCTGCCACAACACTTAAATCAAGATTAGCTTTCAGATTTTATCAAACAAATTCCAGTGTTTTTTTTACTGTTTGGAATTCATATGTTATTGGTAAAACCTTTAGTGCATTTTTTTAGGAATTTCGCAGACCTCAGTATGTACAATTTAAAAATTAGCTGTGAATTGGCACTAGATAAATAAACTGAATTGCATTAAATAATAAAGTATAGATACTCAAAGCAATAAATTAGAAAAAAAAATAGAGGAAAAGCAAAACAATACAAACACACAGTTCAGTGATATATAAAACATATCTGGAAGGCAGACATAAAGTTCAATCTCCAAATGTATTACTGCATATAAATAAAGGCATATAATAAAAATTACTCTAACTACTATAATAAGAATACGACAACATTTCTATAATGCTGAGACAATTATAAAAACTTAGAGAAGGAAAAAAAAAAATAGCAAAAACAAACAGAAGGATTATTTGAGCAGTTTAGGGTTAGCATATGCTGCAAACATACTCCTGTCTTAAGCAAAGATGGTACTCTTTGTCTTATCCGGGATCAAGCTGTGGGGGCAGAAGTCTCATTAAAGACTCCTGTCCTTCCCTCTCCCCTGACACTTTCTCAAGCTCTGCTTGAACCCCAGGAACTCCCAGGCCAGCCAAGAGACATAGTCCCTCCAACGTGTCCTGGGTCCTTTCCTGGGCCTCATCATGGCTGGATTTGCCCGTAACACTTCCCGAGGGCGGCGTCCAGGGGACATCCGACAAAGATGTCTGAGCCACCTCAGTTGATTAGTCTTGATGTGGCGGAGAAGTACATAAACTCTGAGCCTGTTCTGGTTGGCCAAGCTTCCCACCCTATCTCTAAGAATGTGCTCACGCTGCAGAGAAAGCTATTTTCACCTGCTTGTATCTGGAATCTTGTTCTTTCAATCATTATACAAATTTTATAACCCAGGGTGAGGGTAGAAACATTGACCAACCCATGAGTCAAAAGCTTTGCCTTTTCAATAATCTCTCTCTTTACTACAACCTGCTGTTGGAGCATCCGCATTACAGCAGAAGCTGCATCCATTAGTCTATTGATCTCGTCCTCCATTCTCCCCCCATTCATGAACATGATCGCAAGACTCTTGAATTCCTCCACTTGAGCAGTGAACTCTACGCCGATCTGAATGGGACAAGCCATCATTTTTTGGTCAAGAACAATGGCCTCAGACTTGGAGGAGCTGATACTCATCCCTGCTGCTTTGTACTTGACTGCAAACTGCCACAGTGCAAGCTATCTTGGCAGGGGGTAGCCAGCAGAACCATGCAATTTGCAAAAATTGCACAAAACAAGGCCCCCTATGGCACTTGGCTGTGCCTAGAAATCCTGTTCAAAAGGTTATGAACTGGACTGGTGACAGATGTTTGTCCTGCCAGAGTACAACATGCACTGGGAATAGGTCTGGCTTAACGCTGGCAATGTGGACCAAATTCATGCTCCGCTGCTACAGAGACCTTATGTTTCCTTGTAAAGGGCCCCGACTCTATTACTGGAGCACCCCCCACAGGGCACCGTGAGGAATATTGTTGAATTCCTTCTCTAGGTCCACAAAACACGTTTAAAGCATTCACCAAAAAGTCGACTTATATTAGTTACCCTTAGTTAACCTATTATATGGGCTTATTCTGTTGGCTTAATGAGCATGAGATTAGCAAAAAAAGCTAGATTAGACCTACCTGATATAAAATCAGAAAGACATATTGTATGTTTTTTGCCCCCCTCAGTGACTACAGCCTTGGTAAGGAGGAAGTCGACCTTCAAGGCACCCAGTATTTGCTTCTGTGAAGTATTCCATCCAGCATCTAAAAACATCCTCATTCAAACTCAGCAGATCTCGACTCCCATTGAAAACAGTATTATTAAACCAGTGCTTCCCCTCTGAACACCCCATATGGGTTGCCAGAAAATTGAGACCAATCGATAGTCTAGCCAATAATCTTTCTCCATAGTCTCTCAAAACTCCATCCATTAGTGTAAATATATAGCTCCCAGTTTGGAGGTTGCAGCCACTGCAGACACCACAGATCTTATGTTCACAACCATGGGCGGTCATAATGACAATCAAGGCAGAAAAATCATTCCAATCAGACTCTGTGTCCCCAGCCTCCCCACAATCTGAGAAAAGCTCTCCTGGAGGTGGGAGTTAAATACATCCTTGACCGGGGGTTCTGCCAGACAATCCCTGCAAACCTTCACTACTCACTTGGGTTTCCCCTTCCAGTATGTCCAGCCCACCACCAGGTGATGATAGGTACACAGCTCTGCCCTTCTTATCACCCAACTGTCTAAGACATGCAGCCAAAGGCTATAACTACAAAGTCTACTGTATATGCTATAACTATAAAGTCAATTATCGACCTCTGGCCTAGGGTGTCCTTGTCCCAAGTGCACCAAATGGCATTCTAATGCTTGAACAGGGGTTTTCACTATGGACAATCCATGACTTGCATAGAGGGCCAATAACTCATGTGACCTTTTTGTCCACCTGGGCAAACCCTAACGAGACAACTGAGCTACGGGGTGAAATGTAGATCCACCTCAGGCTTCTGCATATTCCTGTGGTTTACTCCAGAGAAGAAGAGTGTCCACCCTCTGTCAAGAAGCTGGGTTCCAGAACCCAGGCTATGCATGGAGGTGAGCCAGACTGTCTCTAGCCAAAATTGTTTCAACTCCTGCGTGGGATCTGGCTTCTTCCCTCTGAGTGAGGTGACATTCCTCATTCCAGGGGCCAGTTTAAGCATCTCTGGCTCAAGTTACTAAGCCTTCCGCCTGTGACTGGTGCCTGAATTTTTTTTCCCTGGTTTTAATGTAATCAGATCAACAAGAAGGATGCCTATTTTTAGCCAGGTGCGTGTAAGGTTTAAAGTTTTTTTTTTTTTTTTTTTTTTTTTTTTTTATATCAATGATGGTAAGAAATAGAGGCTTTTGATATCCAGACTTCAAACATTTTTTTTTTGTGGTGGCTTTTTAACTAAATAGTAAACTTATGAATTAATTTTGCTTTCTGAAACTTTCCTCCATTATCGGACTATTGTACTTCCATGTATTCCAGCAGTATTAGCAGTGTTGGCTCTATACAATAGACAGATGGATGGACAGAGAGATAGATGAATTTCAGACAGTTTTACTATTTTTTAAGACTAGTTCTCTAGTTTTCTTTCAATTAAAAACAGTTATTTTGAAGTAAAACCTGGAAAAAAGTTAAAAACTAACCTTTTGGAGAGAATGTCAACATGCTGTTTTCTTGTTGTTTTTTACTTTATGAGTAGGGAATTTGCTACCTTTTTTGGTTTGAATACATGTTGAAATTATACCCCGGGAGGGGAGCCATATTGCCCATTAAAAAAAAAAACCAAAACTGAGTACTCTTGAGTAAACAAGATCTGTTATAGAAATATGTTCTTATTGTAATACATTGTGTACAACTAATAGGTCTGCATACTCTTGGAGATAATAAAAAATAGACACACTTATAGAATATCTAAAAATCCTCGAGAGAACTTGAACATAGATAAAGACTGATTTGCTATTTCTCTCATGGTTTTGACAAATTAATGGTTTGTGTAACAATTTTTAGTTTATTTTTTTTAGAAAATATGTTTTAAAATGTTTAATTTTGTATTTTCTACGCCATGCTGTGTGTTTTATAGGAGCATTTCTGTATGTTTGGACAATATACNTGTTGAATTCCTTCTCTAGGTCCACAAAACACGCTTAAAGCATTCACCAAAAAGTCGACTTATATTAGTTACCCTTAGTTAACCTATTATATGGGCTTATTCTGTTGGCTTAATGAGCACACAACACGATTAGCAAAAAAAAGCTAGATTAGACCTACCTGATATAAAATCAGAAAGACATATTGTATGTTTTTTGCCCCCCTCAGTGACTACAGCCTTGGTAATGAGCAAGTCGACCTTCAAGGCACCCAGTATTTGCTTCTGTGAAGTATTCCATCCAGCATCTAAAAACATCCTCATTCAAACTCAGCAGATCTCGACTCCCATTGAAAACAGTATTATTAAACCAGTGCTTCCCCTCTGAACACCCCATATGGGTTGCCAGAAAATTGAGACCAATCGATAGTCTAGCCAATAATCTTTCTCCATAGTCTCTCAAAACTCCATCCATTAGTGTAAATATATAGCTCCCAGTTTGGAGGTTGCAGCCACTGCAGACACCACAGATCTTATGTTCACAACCATGGGCGGTCATAATGACAATCAAGGCAGAAAAATCATTCCAATCAGACTCTGTGTCCCCAGCCTCCCCACAATCTGAGAAAAGCTCTCCTGGAGGTGGGAGTTAAATACATCCTTGACTGGGGGTTCTGCCAGACAATCCCTGCAAACCTTCACTACTCACTTGGGTTTCCCCTTCCAGTATGTCCAGCCCACCACCAGGTGATGATAGGTACACAGCTCTGCCCTTCTTATCACCCAACTGTCTAAGACATGCAGCCAAAGGCTATAACTACAAAGTCTACTGTATATGCTATAACTATAAAGTCAATTATCGACCTCTGGCCTAGGGTGTCCTTGTCCCAAGTGCACCAAATGGCATTCTAATGCTTGAACAGGGGTTTTCACTATGGACAATCCATGACTTGCATAGAGGGCCAATAACTCATGTGACCTTTTTGTCCACCTGGGCAAACCCTAACGAGACAACTGAGCTACGGGGTGAAATGTAGATCCACCTCAGCCTTCTGCCTATTCCTGTGGTTTACTCCAGAGAAGAAGAGTGTCCACCCTCTGTCAAGACGCTGGGTTCCAGAACCCAGGTTATGCATGGAGGTGAGCCAGGCTGTCTCTAGCCAAAATTGTTTCAACTCCTGTGTGGGATCTGGCTTCTTCCCCCTGAGTGAGGTGACATTCAGGGTGGATTTTATTATGAATGTTTATTTGTTATTTGTGATAGAAAAATACAATGTCTTGCCTTGCCATAAAACAATATATTGTTGTTTTTTTAAATCTGACCTAAACCTGTATGTGGAACCTCCCTTTAATGGGGTTTCCACGCCCACATTGGAGACCTCTGGATTAGATTATTCTAAAATCTTTTTCTAAATCCCTTATTGACTTGAACATGAAGGGATTATGATGAAGCTTCAAATTAAAGTTAAAAAAAAAATGTTTTGGGTATGAATGTAAAAACTATTGATTAAATATCCTATGATTTAAAAAGACAATATTGATATTACTTTATTATTAATTTATGTATATTATCTCATTTTCGGCTACCAACAAGCGAGGTGCCATGTAGCCAAGATTTTTCAAGAATATCTGAATTAATCTTATTTTTTTTGCAGCTGTTGTATCTTAATTTGTAGCCGTAATTTTGGGGAGTATTTGGGACGCCTGTGTGTCACGTGCGCAGTGGAGTGCGCGGCGAGAGCAGCAGCTGCGGTCAGCTCCTCAGATTGAGCTGTTAGCTGAATTTGCATAGCAAACACAGTGACGGCTACAGTACATGGCAGCTCTTCGTTTATTGCCAAATTAGCTGCCGCTGTCAAGTCAATTCGGCAGATAGAGGAGTAAAGTCGTTCGAAGGGAAGTGTTTTCTGTCTGTAACAAATAGTTAGAGGAGGCCAGCTTTACTGAAATCGGAGCTAACGTTGGTAAACGAGCTAATGTTAGCTAGCCAACGGAATGGTAAGTAGCGTTAGCTTGTCTGTGTGGGTGATGTTTCCCTGTTACGACTGCTCGATCAGTGGCTAACCAAACTAGCAGACAGGCTGTTAAATATCTACTTTTTTGGTTGTATTTCTTGTTTATTTCATACTTGTTTTGTTGAACAGCAGTTTCGTTTAACCTTTTTGTCATTTATCCGTAAAAGTGAAACCAGACCGGTGCAGAGATTCTGCTCAACGGCTTCGTTCCCTTATCACCCCCGACTCATTTTACTATTAAAATCAAACTTAGACATTTTTTCTATGTATTAATAAACTCTGTTTTATTCATCATCAAGACTTCTGAAAAAAGAGGAACCGATTCGGCGGTTAATTAAGGCCTTTTGCTTAACTTGTTTACTATTATTTATTATGAGATTTTTATTTACTATGCCCTTGAACTTACATATTTCTGTTCAATTGAAAACTAATTAAACGTGAAGTTTATGCTTAAACCTTAAGAGGATTAAAAGCTGCTGCGGAAATGTCTTGAAATGTTTTGCATTTATTTGAATAGCTGTTTCCAAAGATAGTTGTTCAGTTTCCTTTGTGGGGTTTGATCGGTTGCCCTTTTAAACCAGGGAAACTTCATTTGCCTTCATGTTTCTGCATCAGTAAGTCATGCTATAACTCGCTGACCAGAGCACTGAACATGAGATATTTCTATGAAGTCTATTTTGAGCTTTTATAAACCTTTGATCCTCTCTTGATCACCCAAATATTGCATTCTTAAATGTTTTTCATTGTTAAAACGAATAGGCGCACTGTCACTTTTCTTTTTGCCATTCTGTTATTAAATATTTAGATATGGATAAACTTTTAATCCATATGCATACGTTTAATTCAAATATAGATATGGATTTTCTTTTGATGCAGATGGGTTAATTGTTAGCTGCCTATCAACCATATTATTCAGCAGTTAACTCTGGGATTTTTATTCAAGTATTTTAATGTTGTCATTTATACTTGTACATTATTTGTTGGAAACAGCTAGGGTTGTCACGATACTAAACTTTTCAACTTGATACCGATACTAAGGAAAATACGATACCACAAGGATAAAAACAAAGACTCCAAAATTCTACAGAAATATTTTCATTAATAAATAAAATACAATAAATAAATACAATAAACAATAAGAACAATATTTTGAGGTTGTTTGCTGTGCACAATATTAAGCAAGCTTGATAAAAAACTTTTATAAAATTAAAATTAAGTGTTCCTTCCTTGGCTATGCTTTGCACACACAACAATGACACTAGCCAAACTGGTTAAGAAACAAAGCACTGTAGCACTGTATCGATACTTTTAAAAACAAGTATTGTATCCGGATACAACATTTTGGTATCAATACTTTTTTGAGTCTCGATACTTTTGACAACCCTAGAAACAGCTTAATAAACCACATGTTACTTTGCTGAAGTGCTGTTAAGATCCCATTTTTAGGTCCTAAATCTATAATCTAAATAGTTATTTCATTGACATTTGTTGTTGTTATTTTCTGAGTATATTTATTCCTATATATTCCTATATTTATTCCTGGTGAGAATAACTGCCTTGAGTGGCCTGTGGTTTGGTTCAGTCAAGTGCAATTAGACTAGCCATTTACAAATTTCAATATTTTTATCAAGTGCAAAACAAACATTTTTGTTGTATAACTCCCAGCCTCCCAGAAGTGTACAAGAAAAGTGAAGAGTATTTCTTCCTCACTATTATGTTTTAGGACTTAGAACATAGACTATTGTAAAGCCGAATTATTATTGCTGTGGCATAAAATTTCACTATATTAAAACATGTCCAATATAAACAAATATTAAAAAAAAAAAAAAAAAACACACACACATTAACATCAGTTTTAATGTGCAGGCATAGTAAAATATGTGATATGAGCTGAAATGTCATTTAAAAGATACACTTGTTTAAATGTAAATTTAAACAAGTGTAAATCTATTAATAAATACACTTTTAACACAGAAATTGAAGTTTTCTGTACATTTATAAGAGAGGGACATAGGGTATTTTTGTCTTTAAAAAGTATAATGGTTAAATGCAAATTAAATTTTATAAATATAAGCACTTTTCTCTATTATAGGTTTCTACAGACTTCCATAAAACTCTACTCTACTCTCTGTACTTTGCTCATTTCCTTGTCTTTAAATTGCAATTGTTGCATAATTTAAAGGGGGTTTCTTCCAGGAAAAGATGGGTCTCATTACTTGCTACTGTAATATAAAAATCTTTACTAAGGGTCAGATGTTCTTTAATGATTACATTGGCAAGGCCATTTCTTGGCTGATATGTAGCAGAACATTTTATTAGTTAATTAGTCATCATAAAGAAACAGAGTTTTTTCGGTGACAGCTGTATCCAATAACATCTCTGACTATCGGTTTGGTCTGAATAAATTCCAAATTCCAGTGTTTCTTCTGGTCTTACTGTTTCTGCAAAGTTTCCTGCAATATTTTTTTTTATTTTTAGAGTTAATGGGTTTTAATGTATTTTCCGTGCAGGCATACAGATGTTTCCCAGATGATGTAAGGCACCTCTGCCTGTATTGACCAAGATGACTGAAGTCCAGGCCACAGTGGAGTTCTCTGTGGAGCTCCACAAGTTCTACAATGTGGATCTGTTCCAAAGAGGGTGAGTCTCCAGGATTCTTATTCCTGCATATTTTTTATTATAAACATATGCATTGCTTGTATTAATTGATGCTCTACCCATAAAATGCATTTCCCAAGCGCTTGAATGTTTAATGTAGTTATGCTAAAATGGTACCATAGAACAGAGTTTTGCCTTGAGGAAACTCTTCTACTCTGTTTTGACTTTGTGGAGTAAGAAACCATGTGTAAATAAGTCCTACATGTTGCTAAATAAGGCTGCTATACTTTTATTTCATGAGCTGAAAACAAAGTTCTCCTTTGGTGATTATTTTCAGTTGTAAAAAGCTGAGCAGTTATGGTATGGAAATGGAGGGTTGCTCCCTTGTTAAGGTACCATGGTTTATTTTTATTGGCAATTTTAAAGATTCATTGTTGTTTTTTTTTTGTTTTTTTGTTTCTAATTAATACAGCAATTAGATTATACTTGCATTTTTATTTGAAAATTTGTTATAAATTCTACAAAAAATTTGGAGTTTTTTTGAAGTTGAATCTCATGCTTTGCAACCATAATACGGAACGTTTAGTTCATAAGTTTGAAGTATTTAAAAAAGTTCTTATATTCAGTTTCTCTGTGGCGACATTGGTCGATGCAATAAGCTGATTTAATAGTTTTTCCTCTGTTTAAGTTGGATTGATTGATGGTTTGCTAGATCACAACCACAGATTAGTGTTTTTTTGTTTGTTTTTTTACCCCACAACTAAAAGGTCCCTGTGACCAAAAGTGTTTCGGACTGATTTAGGCAGGTATTTTATGACAGTTGTGCTTTCTTTTTCTTTTTGTAGATCCTCTCAGAACATATAGTTGATGCTGTTGATTTAGGATACTTGATATTTACAGCTTAATTACTCTGATGTATATCTTAGCTGATTTATTTATTTTTTTTTATTGTCTGCCCTTTTCCAAAATACCTTATTGAATTATAACCCAAATATTTAGATATACATTTCTTGATTAGAATAAAATAGCTTAAAAAAATAGCCATTAGATCAAAAGGAATGTTTTTTCTCTTTTTTTAATCAGTTATTCAAATATAGTTATTGGACACAATCACACAAGACTGAAAGTCAAAACAAAAGATCTGTACAAAAAAAGGAAATGCATAATTGTTTTATAACATTAAGTAAGATCTAATTTTGATAAGATAAAAAAGGAGGGCATGAACAAAGACAAAATAGTTATTCATAGCAAAAGCCTTGTCCATTTTTAGGGTAATCATCATTACTTCCAATATTATAATGGAATTAAAAAGTATTATGTTACTTTTTGTTTATGTTAATCTGATAGATGCTACTTTTTAACTGATGCTTCAGTGAGACCATTTCTGTTGCATTGCAGTTCTATGTATGTAGAGCACAGACACAGCATTAATTATTGCGTAACTAATTTGCAGTTGCCACATTTGTGGACCGGATATGACTCAGATTGCTTGCTCTCTGGCAATCACAGTCTATTCTTTTTAAATATTTTTGTTAACAGCACATTAAATAAATTCTCCTTGTGCATTTAATGAGCATGTGTGAAGAGGATAAATATCAATATATCATTTAGTTTAAAAAAAGGCCCACTCCGTTGTTTGTTGCCTTTAATGCTGCATGGAGCTGTGGCAAGTAAACGAGACAGCAATGTGGCATTTAAAAAAGTTCAGTTTCTTATACTTTATAGAAACATAGACGAGCAGAGTGCCTAGCACTGTCCAAACCCCCCCTTTTATTTAGCCAGAAATATCTTTTTGCAGCAATGATCTATGGTTATCTCTGTGTGCTCAACTAAAACTCCTTCCAGCCGCTTGTGACTCATCAGTGCTTTAAGAGTTTAGGTTTACTACATGAGTGACTGCAAAAGAAGTGCTCATTATTCATTTATGACAAGCGTAATGTCCTTTTACTGGCCACTTGTATCTAATCAGTGCATTTTCTTCTCTATTTGCTCATCTTTTATAATGTTCTAGATGAAGCCAGTGTTGCACTTTTTCTTTTCCATTTGTGGTAATTTTAAAATATTTAAACCATTTTGCAGGTTCTACCAGATGCGTGGCAGTCTGAAGGTGCCTCCTCGTGTTCCACACAAAGTTGAAACCAGTCTCCTTCATCCAGGAGGTAAAGACAGATGTGCAGATACTGGATATTATTTTGCTCCTTGTATTTCCCAAATATTTTAGCACAATTTGGTTTTCATACTATTGTAGTTTTCTGTTAGAAATAATTTTGTCTTAAGATACCGTCAGCAGAAACAAGCTGTAAATGACGTTCTGCTTCCCCTTTTATTTGTCAGGAAGTATCTATATGTTCTTAGGACTTGGATGGGATTTTAATGTCGGGTAATGACTTAAATTGTATAATTTTCATGACATCTGAGTTTTTTATGCTTCCTTAGTTTTCAGGGAAAGTTTTTGTGCTTCAGACTAAACATAGATTTCTAATATTAAATTTTTTCTAATATTCTATGGCTTGCTCGTTTTATGGCAACTGATCCAATTCAAACTATGACTCATTTAAAAGCATTATAAGTCATTACATTTTTATTTTCCCTGCATCTTTAGGCTGGTTCACATGGCAGGCTTTAAAGTTTTCAGAAAAAGCATCAAAACACTGCACATAATGATAGATAAAAAAAAAAAAGACAAATTTGCTGGTGCTGTGTGTGGTGCTGGGCCAGAGGACCAGAAGAGCACAGCACACAGATTTCACTCAGGATTCATTTAAAAAATAAAAAGGGCAAAGAGTTTCAAGTGGGTCAGTGGGAGCTTTGCACATCTGTGACTCATTTTCAACAGAAAGGAATCACTCTTCTCTCACTGACTGAGATGTCCATGCAATGCAGGAGGGAGGGGCTAGTCACTCACTGCTCGCTGAAGAAAATAAAATCAGTGCCATCATGTTTTGTCACAAAAGTGTCCAACTAACAGAAAAAGTCACTAAATTTGTCACTAGTCTCTTTTTTTTTTTAAAGAAAAGGTTGTTAGAGGTAGGTGTCTAAGAGGTCACTAAGTAAAGCAACAAAATAAATATGTTTTTTTGGAGTGGTCCAAATACATTCTCCTGGCTTTTCATGTGAACCTAGTTGAGTTCACTTTATATGCATCCATACACATTTTTATTTTGTTATATGGAAAAGGAGAGATCATGGCCTGGATGCAGCATCTCTCAAATCAGCATCTCTGATTTGTTGACCTGTGGCCAATAGGGATGGAACGGTTTTTGAAAACCGTCCGAACCGTTCGGTTCGACTGTTTCGGTTCGCGTGTGTTGCGTTTGGTTCATGCGCTGCACCTTTTTCTCATAGGGGAAGCGTTTACACTCCAAAGCAGAAGGTGACGGTACTGCGACCAAAGCAAACCACCAGTAGTAAACAAGAAGAAGAAGAAGCGAAGCAGCGTAGCCGGGTGTAGCAGAAAAAAAAATCAGTTGTGGAGAATTGTGTGGGTATGGCGAGTTGGAAGATGCGCCAGCAGCACTTTATAGGTCTGCTGTATGGGACCACTTTGAATTTAGAGTGACCTACGATGACGGCGGAAAGAAAGTTGTGGATAAAAGTGCAACAGTGCGCAAGCATTGTGCAACACGTTTTGTTTATGCTAACAGCAACATGACCAACATGTCATGCTAACCCCGAAATCCCACATACTCCGTCAGCGCTCCGCCCCGCTACGCACCAGACCACCTGCACAAAGCAAAGCCTACAGCCTCCGCTGTGGCTCTGAAGTCCTTGGAGATCGTAGAGGGCATGCGCGAGATGATTAAATTCAAAGCAGCAAAACTGAGCAGCAAAATGTGGAAATGATCCAGGGTTTCTGCGGATCATTAAAAATAATTACAATTCATGAATTTTTTTAGATTTTTTTCATTAATTTCATAAATTTTTATTTTTTCAAAAATTATTATTTTATTTTTTTTTCGGTGTAACAATAAACATACACCGAACCAAAAACCGTGACCACGAAACCGTGAACCGAACCGAACCGTGGATTTTGTGAACTGTTCCACCCCTAGTGGCCAAAGTTCATAATTTGAAACTTGCTTGACTCGGAGGACACCAAACACTGCAGGATATTAAGCCGAGACAAGCCAACATGTTAGATTTCCATGATTTCTGAAGAACGCCCCATATTAAGAGTTTTTGGAAGGGGAAGATCATGTAGAAATCAACACTATTGTCTTGGCGTGTGAACCGGCCTTTACTCTTTTAGGACTAGTTGATAAAGCTGTTGACTGCACATTTACTCAGTGATATACATCATCTTTGATTACCTGGATACAAGTGATTAAAAAAAACCATTAGCTTATTGCTGCATGTAACCACTTTAAAGTACCATAGTATGAACGGCAGGTCAGGGTACGGAAAAATTGACAATTTTTTCGGAGCTAGATAGATTAATAATACATGGAGCTTTATTGTTGTCATAAGTTTAAATACAGTTATAATAGAAATCTTTTATTTTTTTTATTTAGATGAGCTTTTTGTTCTCCATGGTGGAGTAAATGTATACAAAACTAATCTGCCATCAATAAAGAAATATTTTAATGGTCAATTTTAGGTTGACTTCTTTATTTAGCTGTATATTTTATTAACATGGAGTCATATTGGTTTCCTTTTCTAGGCTCAGATCTGGCGTTTCCTGCTTCAGTCCAGGATGACGTCATCAGCAGCAAAACTTTCCAAATCTTGTATAAGAATGAGGAGGTTGTTGTCAATGATGTTCTCCTCTTCAAAGTGATGATGCTTCTGGATGAAAAGAAGGTCTTCTTGAAAAGAATAGTTGTTTTGTTTTATTGCAAGTACATTCCTTGTGGTTCTGATTGGTTTTCTTTTTGTCAGCAGGTAGAAGAGTCGCTAAACGAAATGGATTTTCAGCTCTTCCTGGATTTATATTTCACAGATGGCGATTATACGTAGGTGTACAACAGTGCTGTATAAATAATATAACTGCATCTCTGCTCCAAGAAAAATCACAGCTAAAGTCTTGTATCTGTATTTGTATCCCTTCAGACCAGAAGACCCAACTTGTCTGCAGAATATAAGCGGCCGCATACTTCATTTGCACTTTAGCCTCCAGCGGGGCATCCACCAACACATTAACGTCATGTTTGACTACTTCCATCTGTCTGTCATCTCTGTGGCCATCCACGCCTCCCTCGTGGCACTACATCAACCCCTAATAAGGTCTGATGAGTAGAGAGAATATTGCATGAATATTATTTGTCAGTAGTTACCATCTTAATCACTGCTTTGCTTTTGTTGGGGGTCATATTCTCTTGTAGTTTCCCTCGACCTGTGAAAACCACATGGCTGAACCGAAACGCTCCAGCACAGAGTAAAGATTCAATCATTCCACCTTTGGAGAATGTTGTGTTTGGTAGCAGCTATGTGAAGCAGACATCACCAGATGTAAGTTTGGTCGTTTTTAGTCAAGATAAAATGTTGTTGTAGCTGCAACTAACCTCTTACCGTACTTTAAACTCTCATGCTTTAGTCAGTAAAATAAGACGGATGAATAAAATGTGTTTGGACTCCATTGCCTTGTGGCCTCTTATATATGACAGAGAAAGGATTTTGTTAGATGTTCATTAAAATAATACTGCCTAACAAATTAGATTGTTTTATATTCACGTGTTTGTTACCTTGTGGCTACTTCCAAGGAATATTCTACATTATGAGGACCTCTAGGTACTTTTTAAGACCAATGAGTGGTTCCCACACAGGAAATAACAATCATTGATCACATTTTATTTCCTATTTTACGCTAGTTGACATTGAAGCCATTGTTTTTTGCTTCAGAAAATCTATTAATTCTTATCCCAACAACACAGAGACGCAACCCCTGCTGTGTTTTGCAAAAACCTAGTTTAAGATGTTTTGTTTTTTGTTATCCACCAGGGGAGAACATTCCTGGTGTCGGACAGCTGTCTCCAGCATGCGTTTAGCATGCATCATAACCTCTGCTCCATTCTCCTGGTGGCTTACCGGGGCCTCTTTGATTATTTTACCTCTATAACCAAGGACCTACCCTCCTCCCATCGTATGGAACTAGGTATAGTACGCTACACTCGATTCATTCATCAACTGGGATGAAACAGTAACACCGTTGTCATGGCTTTACATTTGCATGTCTTTTTAATTTTTTAAGTAATGTCAAGGTTAACTTCTTTCATTTACCTTGGAAGTTTGGTTTCATCTGGGAACCATGATATTCCCAATGCAAATGAACTTTAGAAATCAGTGGGATTCACAGGTTGTCTGCTTTAGTTATCCAATGAGCTGACAGCAATATACACTGATAATTATACATTATCCTGGAGTTTGTGCACTTAAGCACCATAGCCACAATAACAATTTGGCTATATTGCATTTCCAGCTGGTTATATATAAACAAGGAGAGATGCAAATGAGCATATCAATGGGAGTACAAATGTTGTAGCCTGGCCAGCCAGACTAAGTTATGCTGCGTACATGGCATATTAGTTTGGAAGGAAGGGGATAGAGCCTGATTTCAAAGGCAGGGCTAACAGTCAGCAGAAACCATTTAGAACCAACCAGATAACGGTGAATATAATGCAAAAACATAAAAAAAAAAAAAAAACTTTTAAGCTTGTGGGACTTAATAAAGGGCATTGATGAGACAAGAGAAGATTAATGTTTAGGAGCCTCTGGCCTTCTAAGTTTGATCCCTGACATCAGTGCTGGATCACATTTAAAATTCAACTTATATAAAAATAAAAACATCATTCTGTTTTTTTATTCAGTTTTTGATTATTTTTTCACTCATATGTTTTTGAATCCCATTGAATGTCCTCTGATTCTACCCTATTAAACCCTTTAAAACACACATTTTGGGTAACTAATTAAGCTTACAAAACACCTGCAGTCCATAGACGAGTTAACAATCCAAACCAAAGCCCAACTAACCATGTAACTGCCGAAGCTAATCAAAATGAGTGGAAAAGCTACTAATCTGAGAATTGAAGGTTAAACATGCCTATATGTGCAATCTTACTAGCCAAGCCCAGCATGCAGGCCCTATATGAGCGAGTACTCAGAAGACCATATCCCCGAGGGCAAAGGCACGTCTACATAGGTATGTCCTGACCCTTTCAGCTCCTCCAATCAGCCTGCCTTTCTCTTCCTACTTCTCTTCACTCCATTTTCCTCCATCAGGAAAACTGCACTTTTTTGATCCACTTTTCAGAGAAAAAAAAATTCCTCAGCTGCTTTCTTCTTTACTTCTACTGCTGACTTCTTATCTGTAGAGGCCAAGGGCAAAAAGTTTGAGATGTTCCTCTACTATAAAACTTCTTGGCCTTGTCTGGTCATGTTTCCTAGAGAAATGCCTTCCAACATCTGTTCTAGCTAGCACAGCTTTCCTTTTCAGAGTTCACATTCTTTTTGTCAGTTTCTGTGTGGTTTAATTAATTTTTTTTTTCTCTCCTACTCCTCCGCCTCCTCAGAACAACTTGACTTGGAGGCCCGTCTAGCTGAGCTATGTGAACAAGTAAAGGTCAGACTCCTTATGTACTTTTTCTTGTTGTTGGATTGTTGTCCTTTGATGTTAATCTGTTGGACAATTAAGTGTTTAGCTCTTTAAAGTGCTGTCAAATCCTTAATGAAATGATGCTAAAATGCAAAGTAAAGTGTAACTTTTTAAGTTGGTGAGAAGCTTTATTAAACTTAGATACCAATTTAAATGCATGTGTGTTTTTAAATGTTTTTTTTTACACTTGGAATTGTTAAAATTCGCTGGTAAGATTGATGAATGATTTTTTTTTTATGAACTTAGTTTGAAAACTCTTTAAACCATTTGCAGCAAACTAAGTCAATAAGGGCGAGACGAAAGTTTTCTCACCCTGAGGCATATTTGTTTAATTTGCTTCCTTATCCTGTTAAGGAAAACGCCTTCAACTTTCTGTCGTTGGTTGACTTGTTCCCTTCTACTTTTAGGTTAAGGCGGAGTCACCTGACGAGCTTGCAGAACTTGTTAATATGAACCTGGCACAGCTCTGCTCTCTGCTCATGGCTCTCTGGGGACAGTTCCTTGAAGTTGTGTCCCTGCAGGAGCATGTAGCAGCCCTACTAGCCATGGAGCACCACACACTAAGAGTGAGTCTGATGCATCACTTTTGCATGAATGTAAACATCTGGGGAAAATGAACCATTCTAAACAATGCTGTCCATTCTGCAAAAAATACTTTCTTAAAAATATAAGTAAACATTAGACCCATGTCTCATGATCTAATGTCCCAAGTCAGATTTATTTATATGAACTAGCCTATTATACTTGGAGGCAAACTTAGAATATGTAAATTAGATTTGAAATTTGGTATCAACAGCCAGCCACAATGTAAAGCCATGACTTTTTTTGACCATCCTAAACACAAGGTGCACTTATTCTACTGCTCCTGTCGCCTGATATACTTTGGCACCCTGAGCAGAGAACCATACCAAACACCACTAGTTAGAACTAATTTATAGGGACAATTTCTGTTTCTATACTGTAATTAATTTTTTATTTTTTTTTTTGTTTTTTTTTTTTATTCAAGAAACGCATAACCTCAGAAAATGACAAGCTTTGAAATTAAGAATGAACACCTTAAGTACAAATTGATTGTAAAACATCACATTTATTTAATACTTGAAAAGTCAAACATTTAGGGTTTTTTTAATGAATAAAAATGTTATCAATATTACTACATACTTAGCCTGTTTTTTATGTTGTTTTTTTACAGGTAAGAAGGTTTGCTGAGGCTTTCTTTTGTCTTGAACATCCAAGGCAATCTGCACTGGCATATCAGGAACTACAGTAAGTTTTACTGTGAAGTATCTTCTGATTGTTTCTTTGATAAAAGGTCAGCAACTCCTTTTTCATTTAACTCCTTACTCTTCTGTCTTTTCCATCAGTGCCCACAGCCATCAACAGATGACTAATGCCATCAAAAGCTCCAGCTACTTCTTGTGTTTGCCTCCTCTAACAGTAGAATGTGCAGACCTTGACGGGGATGTTAACTCTTTGCCAATCATCTTTGAGGATAGATACCTTGAATCCATCACGGAGGGTCAGTACTGTTGTTACTTTGATTTTCACATCAAAGATTGGCTTTCATTCCTGCATTTTTTCATGTCTGTGTTTAATTTAACGTTTTTCCTCCTAAGATCGTGATGGACCCTGGCTGGGCATGCACAACACAAAAACTGCCTCAGCCTCCAGTAAAACCGACAAGTCTGGTGCAAAGGACTGCAGCGCCTCAGCCAGCTCAATACCAGAGACACAGAGTTCTCTTCTGGAAAACACCTGGCCGGAAAACTTTGATCCAGCACCTAAGACTAAAGGAAAATCAGTAAAACTGAAGAAAAACTCAAAGACGGAGAACTCTAAGAAGTTGACTAGACAGGGTTCAAAGGATTCTGTGGTTTTAGTGGGTTATAAGAACCTGAAAGCCCCCCATAGCAATATTAGCACAAAGTACAAAGAAGAGGAGGTTTCTGTTAACCAAGAGGAGGAGCAAGATACTCTAAGGCTCGACTCAAGTAGCTTTTCACGGACTAATGCCAGTGCTGTTTTTGAGTCTAGTGGCGCATCAACAAATTCAGGAAACGGTGCTGATGAGCCCGTTGCAGGCTATGGAATAACTACTGCTGCTTGTAGTAAAGATCTTTTCAAAAACCTTTCTGCTTTGGACTCAAAGAGCAGTCCTCAGGCTGGTACTGGGGTTGCAATTACTAGTCAACACATTAATAAAGGTGTTTATGTAGACCACATTGGTCACAATCTTAAACAGGGGTCTTCTGGCTTGATTGAAAATGAGTCAAAACCAAGTAATGAGGACACCACGCAAGGAGATAAAGTAAACACTCTTCTGCCAAATCAAACTGGTAAAGGTCTTATTCCTACGATAACCCAGACAGGTCTTTGTGATTCCCAGCTTCCTGCAGTGAAATCTATTATTGAAAGGCAAGGTAAAGCTGCAGCACAACCAAGTAAGGCCTGTACGTTCTCAGTGCAGGTGAAGAGCGACAGTATCAGGTTCCAAGACGTAGGGGCCCCTAGTGCCTCATCTCGCCTATCAGACTCTGGCATTGAGAGTGAGCCCAGCTCCTTTGGACCTCAGGCAGGACATACAGAGCTGACTGTCCAAAGTCCTGCTCCACTACCTGCTCAGCAGAACACAGTGCAGAAGCCTAGCAGCACAGGAGACTTTCTCTATCCAGAAAATACAAGTGCTGTAAGTGGAGTCCAGTCCTCACTGACTTCCATTAACTCCCTGCCCTCAGATGATGAGGGGGAAGGACAGTCCAAGAGCTCCACTGGAGGCAGAAAGTCCAGCATTTTGGTGCAGGAGCAGAGTGTCGTGTTCTCTGGAGACATTGCTAAAAGAACCGATGGAACCTGCACCCCCAACACCACCGCTGGTAATTTTCCACCTAAAAAGATCCCACTTGACCAGGAATATGATTTTAAATCAGCAGAATGTTCAGAAATTGGAGCCGAGGAAGCGGGTGGATCAGGGACGTCAAAAGAATCCCACACAGCTTGCCCTTCCAGCAACTCTGCCACGAGTAGCACTGATCTGGTGAAGCGTGGGATGGTGGAGAATTACTTTGGCTCATGCTCCAGCACAGACGTGTCTGAGATCAGCCCTGTGGAAACATCAGCTATCACTCTTGGAATCCAGGCAGAAGCTCCCGTTGAGGAAGATGAGGATGAGACTGAACACGAGATGATTGAGAATGGTTATTATGAGGAAGGTGACGGCTATGATTTTGTGAACGGCGTTGCAGATGATGATCAAACTGCTGCTGAGGTCGGTGCTTCTCAAGAGAAACGCCTTCTGCTTGAGCAGCTTGGTACTGCTCACCTTCATGATACTAAGGAGACATCGAAAGCTCCTTTATGCTCCAACCCAGCCACCAGCACTGTTAGGTATAGTTTATGTAAATCCCCTTACTCCTCCACCTCGTTGTCGTCCAGTTTGCACTGGTATGAATGTGCACCCACGCCACAGATGAAAGCGTGAGTCAACTCTAAAATATTTTATAATTTTACACTTCATGACATTTTCAGTGTATATATTTTCTATGTTTTTCTTTAGTAATGTATTTCATTTCACTATACAGATTCATCAAGGCCAAAGAAGAAATGAAACAATTAAAGCTTCCTGGTTTCGTGTACAGCGAGGTCCCTGAATTGGCATCTACTATTCCCTACTTCAGCCTAGAGGAGGATGAAAGCTGTGAGGAAGGCATCCATCTCATTGTGTGCGTCCATGGTCTGGATGGTATGGGACCTTCCATTAGGTTCTTTGATGGTAAACTTGCTCATTTGGCAGCCATCTTTATGGATTCTGTTTTACCTGTATGCAGGTAACAGTGCAGACTTGAGGCTCGTGAAGACGTACCTGGAGCTTGGACTGCCTGGTGCTCGTATAGACTTCTTAATGTCTGAAAGGAATCAGGTATTTGCATCATTTTTACAGAGGCATGGATCAGCTTTTTATTGTCTCTGCTAATTGTCTTTATTTTAAAGATGGAAATAAACATTTGCTACAGATTTATGAGATTTAAGTTAAAGTTAAAGGCATGTTTTAGAGTCTCTATACTCCAGTTAACGATTAATTGATTACTAAATTAGTTGATGATTATTTCAATAATTGATTAATCCGATTGTTTCCTTACTACTATTAAACCGACACCCTTTCTGATTTCAGAATGACACGTTTGCTGACTTTGAGTCAATGACAGACCGCCTGTTGGACGAAATAGTCCAGTACATTCAGATTTACAACCTAACGGTGTCAAAGATAAGGTAAGCTGTTTTTTCAGGTTTTAGTTGTAAGAATAGTTTGTCAACATTTTCTGTTTCTCTTAATAAGTTGCTAATGACTTACCTTCCCTGTTATTTCTTTGCAGCTTTGTGGGCCATTCTTTAGGGAACCTGATAGTGCGTTCAGTGTTAACCAGGCCCAGGTTTAAATGTTACCTGAGCAAGCTGCACACATTTCTTTCCCTCTCAGGACCTCACCTGGGCACACTGTACAACAGCTCCGCTCTCGTCAATACAGGTAAACGGTAGCCACGCATTAATGGAAATTTAGACTTTCTGGTTTCACTTGAGGGATTTTTCACAGTGTATGCCTGATGTGTGGATGCTCCTCTGTCCTAGGCCTTTGGTTCATGCAGAAATGGAAAAAATCAGGATCACTTTTGCAGCTGACGTGTCGGGATCACTCTGACCCTCGCCAAACTTTTCTGTATAGACTCAGCAAAAAATCTGGTTAGCCTTGCTATTTATGTTCATATGTTTGGCTTTAATTTCCAAATACAGTATCAGACTCTGATCCTAACTTGTCAAATGATCTGGATTTTAAGGTCTGCAGTACTTTAGGAATGTGGTGCTGGTGGGGTCACTGCAGGATCGCTATGTTCCCTATCATTCAGCTCGAATAGAGATGTGCAAAACGGCATTAAAAGACAAGCAAACAGGTGAGTTAAACCAAGATCAAAGACACTATCAAGTTTTCCCTTCAAAGAGACTTCTATGTTTCCGTCATAAAATAAAAGTCAAACAAGACTAAAAAAAGCCGCTCCATTTCGTTATACTGATGATGGAAGGGAGTTATATCAAGAGAAAAAACTTTGCCTCTTCTCTTAATTAGAATATTGTGGTATAAATTTATTGCATAAAATAATTTTTTATTTTAATGGCTGAAAACTCATAAAAACCTTAGAACTGACTGAAAACTGTTTAGTCTGACCTAAATGTTGGTTTATAGCCGTGCTATCTCTTACACAGTCGATTGCATTTATTCTTTTCTAAAATCTCAGCTGTGTTTTTGGTATGTGGCAATTTTATTTAACGAACGAGAAGTGTTTTTGTTTTCTTCCCCACTTTTTATCAGGCTAGTCAGAAAAAACATCCCTGCAGATCTGGACACAAACTACAGTATTAAGACTTTAATCTGTAGGTTTTCACTAGTGATGTTATGAGTAGATGAGTCGAGGCTTCGAGATGTGTCGAGTAATGAAGTAGGCGTTTCCCTGAAGTTCGTGTTGAGGTGTGATTCATTTAGCGGAGGAGCCAAAATTGATGATTGACCGAAGCCTCGCTACCCTGACACAACATGACCGCTTTGGGAAGTTGTTCAGACCATGCAAGAACTTCAACAGGTGTTTAAACGGCCTCACTACTCAGTCAAGATGTGGGAGTTTGTAGGAGAGTTTCTGTCAGTTGGATAGAGTTTGATTCTATTCTAAGAATATATTGGTTGGAAAAACAACCAATGTAGTTGGTTAAAACTTTTTTTAGTTGGATTAAACAATGTAATGATCAAAATCTGAGCAAGCCGCTGGACACAGTTCTAACATTATTTTAAGTAGCATTGCTTTCTGGTGCGCAGTTTACCAGTGTTTGTGGCATCAGACTTCCACCCCTGAGGTTGTTGGTTTGAGACCCACCTTAGATTTTTAAAAGCTCCGATACAAACACTGCAAAATTGGATTGGTTGGTTTGACCAAAAAGTTGGTTGAACACGTAACTTCCAACCTGATTAAAACCAAAAATCGTGGAAAAACTATTTTGTTTGAATAAAAATGACTAACGCCTTTCATTTTGCTCATCATCGCCCAATTTGTACAAGCACTTTCACTGTTTACTTCAGATTATTTATATAAAATTGTAGAAAAACATTGTATCTTAAATGATTGTTCTCTTCTAAGACATTTTACACACACACAAAAAAAGATTTTAATATACACGCCAATCAGATTTTACTATTAACTGTAGTTCTGCTTTTCACCATTAGGTGGTGACATGTTCACATGAAGCCTCTTGAACTGTGGGGATCATTGAAGCAATTTTGCCAAATGGTTCAATGCCTCATGAGGCTTCATCTCACCATCACTAGTTTTCACTATAGAGTGCTAATTGCTAAACAAGCTATTTTAGAGATAGTTTACTTTCCTGTCTTTCTGTGTCAACCTGCCTTTTTCTTTCTTAATATATGCATATAAAGTTCACATAAACATAAATGTACACATTGTTCCTTAAATCCTTGTTTTATTCTTTTAAAGTTGATGTGTATATATATTTTACTTGATGTCTATCTCTTAGCTAATAAAGCTGATTCTGAACAATGGATAAAGGTGAATGAAAGATTACAATATATGGTGTTGCTCTTTCACAACTTTGACAACTTAATTTGTTCAATTCACATCCTTTTTGTGCTCAAAATATTTTTAATTTCTTTTTTTTTTTCCTCTTAGGGAAGTATCTAATATATATTCTGTTTCTGTCTTGTAAATACCAGGGCCTGTCTACGCTGAGATGATTGAAAACCTGCTGCTGCCAGTGCTCCAGAACAAAGATTGTAATTTGGTCAGGTATGATGTCATTCATGCTCTGCCCAACACGGCCAACTCTCTAATCGGCCGGGCTGCTCACATCGCCGTCTTAGACTCCGAGATCTTTCTGGAGAAGTTCTTCCTTGTTGCTGGACTGAAATACTTTCAGTAGAACTGCATCTGAAACAAAAACCTGGCTGAACAAAAGGAATGTGGTGCTGATACCTCACTGCAACTTTGATTTTATTTTTGCTTTTTCATGGTAGTGGAATTAAGATTCTCCGGTTAAAATACACTTAAGAATCATATGTTTTTTTTATGCTTATACTGGAATCAGTAGATGTGTGGAGTTTACCATTTTTATTTTTCTACCATAATTTGTTTTTACTTCTCTGTTTAAAGAATAATTTCTCCCATTAAGTTGTACTTTAATAGTATTTATGAGCTATGTATTTATTTTTAACTTTGAACTACTTTACAAAAAAATTAATTGAGAAATTTTAAATGCTGAACTGGAAGTGTAGCTGCTATTAAATAAAATGTTGGGTTTTGGGGTTGTTTTTTTTATTGTTTTTGTTTTGTGAGTTGTCCCAAGTTGATTCTGCACATACTGTACAAAACATTGCAAATGTTTTCACCGATTTTTAAGAAACATTGCATTTTTTGCACCTCAAGTATATTTTACAAGCTTTTTTTACTAAAAATGTCATTTGTAAACAAAAAAAGGAAGTTTTCTATCGACAATTTCCCCTCACTTTTAAAGGCATAGGCTGAAGTAGGATCGTTGCTCAGCTTTGGCTTTATTTTCCATACTTGATGCTGTGGAACAGTCTGCACATGTACCCAGCCTGGTGTTGGGAGATTAAAGCTGCCTTCATGATGGCTTTTCAGTATAAAAATTCTAAGCAGCAATCGTTCAGGAAAAAGCACAGATTGAAAGCATTTTGTTAATCATATCCTGAGCCGCTGTTTATATGTTTGTCTGTATATATATATTTCGCTGTAATCTATTAAAATGTATTCTGTAAAGTAGATCTTCTAACTTGTCTTTTTTTATATACATATATATTTTTAAAAGGTGCTTCAAACAGTTTGAATTATTGCAAAAATGTTTTTGAAATCATGTTGCAGTATCTTTCATTTTTATAAATCCATGTTTTAATGCTTTGCTTTAACTTAAAGGTATAGTGGAGGATGTTTTTCTTCTGGGTGGATCATCAAATTAAGTGGTCTTTCTAATTGTCAGTCATTCTGGTGATATGTTTACGTAAGGCCATGCTCATCCCCATTTTCACTTACCGGTGCCGAGTCTGACATAGTGGAAAAACTGCAAATCTTTTGGAAAATAAGCTCATAAGGGTGATGCAAGCGGCAACTTTTAGACAGAGAATGCCTAGGAGAAATGGGCTATGAAATATTAGAACATTAACAACTTAACTAACCTTAAACCTTGCCTAAACCTTTATCACTGATCTGTCTGATGGTTTGTGTCATAACCATGTATTCGTTTAGATTTACCAGATTATCTGTAATTTTATTTCCCTTTTGGATTTATAAAAGTATTTTTAATGGAATAAATTAAACATTTGAGCCTCCCTCAGAAATTAAATATTTGATATTAAGTTACTCTTTTAACTTCAGAGGGCTTTTGGTTCCCCAAGTTTCAGTTTCTGTTATAAAATTAAAGGCTTCTGCTACAAGCATTTTTACATCTCTTGTTACAAGAACGAAATATATGTTTATCCCTTCCTTGCATTAACACCCTCACAACTACTGTATTTACTATTTTTTAATTGTCAACAGACTTCGTGGAGCTTATATTTTGAAGCCTTATTGTTTGTGCAATGACGAAACTTTTCCTATAGGTGGCAGTATTGATAAACTCTTGACGATTGAGTCTATTTTACTATAGTTTTAGCAATTATAAAGTAGTGGATGGATAACTGTTCACACCGCATCACTTAAAATCACTTATATACTCATACATGAGAAATCACTCATATATAATTTCCATGGCTCAGTGGTTCTATTACTACTGTTGATCATGGTCCTCTAATTAGTATAGCTCACAATCCTAAACCAAGTGGGGAGTTTCAACATTTTCATACACAACTTTTTTTAAATACACATTGTATTGAATTGTGCACTTAATGTTCTGCATATGTTTTTTCTTTATCTATACAATGTAAAACAGAATTAAACTTAGATGCGGCGTAAAACAGTTCAACGAAAGCAACAAAAAATGTATCTTAAAGAATTATGAACACCCCCATAACCAGTCCAGGTGGTATCGCCCAAACGTTTGCGCTTCAGGCTGGTTAAACGGGCACAAATGCAAGGTGGGGTACCAAACAGCAGACAGCTCGTTTTGTCTTAATCATTACTTTGGTTCAAGTTTTTTTCCCCTTAAAAAATAGCTTTAAATGAGAAAAACTACGTTCGCCTCTAACAGTAAGTAATCACTGATTATCTTTTCAAAGAGCAGTGCTGCATACTTTTTATAAACAGTTTTCTCTGATTTGTGTTTAGTTGCTCCAACAGTTATATGATTAAATAACTTTCCGGGATGAAAGTAGCCTCATGTCGCCTTAAATTAAAACATGTTTTATTACTTTTTTAATGTAGTTGAGTAACTTTGTATGCCTGTCAGCTCAGATACCAAGGCGCTCCTCTTAGCTGGAAATCAGGCTCTCTATTGTTTTAAGGTGGGATGAATGTACATGGTGTTCCCCTATTTATGCAAATTCCTCCTTTACTTCTTTCTAATGGGGGGGATTCATGAGAGCAGACAGGTGATGTTGTTTTTGTCCTGGCCTGCATAGTGCTCAGAGGTCAGGATTATAACAGTCTTGGAGGGGAATTAAAGCATACAGATGGCAGCTCTCATGTGATGCAAGGTCTGACCCTTGTCAGCTTTCAGGGAGATGTTTGGACTTGTTTTATTGTGCCTCTGCACGGAGAGAGGGCAAACCTGAGCTTTGGTAAGGATTACATCTGTTCTCAGAGACCTTTTGCCTTAGTTTGCCTTGTTTTTTTTTAGAAATCTGCTACCAATGAGTTAAAAAATTCAACCTATGGAGTTCAGAAACTTCTCTACATTTGCATCCTAGAATCCTTATTTTTAACACTTGGTTCATTATATAAACTGCATTGATTTCACTTAATCAAAAGGTGTTATTCAGTCTATTTCTATGCTGGAGATGGATTATGTGTATGACTTTCTAGTGTAAATGTAGAGGTTTGTCTGTTTTAAGGTTAATGCTACTGGAATTTCAGGTTTTTTTTAAATGTCTGTTTGTGCTGACACCCAGTCACCAGCCTGGCCGTGTTTAAACTTGTTCATAAATGATATTCAGTTGGACCCTGTGAGCCAAGAAAACTTGCTTTGGTAGTTCACACAACTTGTTTTGCACACTGCTAACACCTCTTTTTAATGTTTCCTTTTTCCCCTCATAGCTTATCTTGTTTTGTATCTTTCCAGAAACTTAACTCAAGGTACTTAAGTGTCAAACAGACAAAAAAGATAATTATACCAAGGCTGAACTTTGGAAGCACTAGCTCTGTGGTTAATATTTATTTATATATATA